GTTTGGCGGGTCCGGGCTGGGGATTCGAACCCGCCACCTTAGGTGTACGTGGCTGGCGCCTTAGCCAGTTGAGCTATAGGCGCCGAGCCCCTTTGTTTATTTTCAATGGTTTGGAGAAGGGTGCACAGAACACTGGGAGAGTGGATGTGTCCCATTGGAAGGACCAGAGCTGGGAGGGGTCACCCTTACCTGCTGCCCCTCTCTCCCCAGTCTACCTGCCTGGGAAGTCAGCAGAGGCTGGCTGGCCAGGCTGGGGAGGCCCAGTGCTCAGGGGGTGCAGGAAGCTGAACTCAGTAGCCCTGAGTCTGTGGGGACTGCAAGGGACACCATTTTTACTGTTCTCTTTTATGCCTTCAGAGAGCCGAAGATGGGAATGTCCCCAGGTACATTCTCCTTCCACTTTAACAACAGACCCATCCTTTCCTTCCGGAATGACAACTGGCTCTGCTTTGAGGTGAAAAGAAACAAGGACAACTTACACACCCCACCTCACAGTGGGGTCTTTCATAACCAGGTACCCACACTCTGACCACATCCTAGGCAGCAGCTAAGGCTGCTGTGAAAGCACAAGACAGAGGAAGAAGTGCAGTGGCAGACAGCGGGCATGCAGGGGCCTGTTTCCTTCTCACGCTTCCTTTTTTGGAGACAGTCTCACTCTGTAGCCCTGGGTAGGGTACTGTGGCATCACAGCTCACAGTAACCAGAAACTCTTGGGCTTTAGCGATCTTCTTGGCTCAGCCTCCCGAGTAGCTGGGACTATAGGCACTGCTACAACACCCAGCTAGTTTTCCTTTATGGTAGAGATGGTGTCTCTCTTGCTTAGCCCTTGAACTCCTGCGCTTAAATAATCCACCCACCTAGGCCCCCTACAGTGCTGGGATTACAGGAGTAATCTTCTTCCCACTTTTTTGAAGTCCTTGGCCTAGACATTCCTTCTGGACTGCCCTACAATCTCATGACCCTGGGATATGACTGATCACTAAAGGCCTGTTGACAGCCCACCCCTCACTCTAGTAGTACCTGTTTCCTAAATCTGGGAACTAAGCTTTGTGTGTCTAGCAGGTGGCAAGGACAGGGCACTGTGGAGAGCTGGGCTGTGGCCCTGGTCCCTGCTGGACTACTGGGCCTGCCCCCCTACTCCCTTCATTCCTGCACGTTAAAGACATGTCATCACTGCTTGGTGCCTGTGGCTCAAGTGGCTAAGGCGCCAGCCACATACACCTGAGCTGGCAGGTTCAAATCCAGCCCGGCCCGCCAAACAACAATGACAGCTGCAACCAAAAAATAGCTGGGTGTTGTGGTGGGCGCCTGTAGTCCCAGCTGCTTGGGAGGCGGAGGCAGGAGAATCGCTTGAGCCCAGGAGCTGGAAGTTGCTGTGAGCTGTGATGCCACGGCACTTTACCTAGGGCAATAGCTTGAGGCTCTGTCTCAAAAAAAACAAAAAAAAGACATGTCATCACACCATGGTATCCCCACACACTTCACCCTATACTGCCCTGGCCATCCTTGCCCCCTCACCCAGGCAGCAGATCCTTAAGAGTGTGCTGGGGCTGGTCATAGGGGGCTGGCTGGCCGCACAGCTGTATCGTCCCATGGAAACATAGGGGGTCAGAAATGCAATTTCATTTGTCTAGGCCCCATGATAAAAAGGTGGTAGAAATGGGAGAATAATTTTCTTGTCTTTATGAGTCCAGTGTATTTAGCATAGTATTTCACCCTATGGTTCTTACAAATTCCTCATGAGATAGAGTCCTTTTTTCCTTCCCTGAGTCTTGGAAATAAGCTGTGTATTTTCCATGTGCCCACATCTCAATTCAGAGCCACATTTCAAGTGCTCAGCTGGCCCCCCAGGGTGGGTCCAGGCAGTACATCTCTGTCCCGCCCTGTACTCTGCCTGTTTCTCCACCCAGAGTGCCCTCTTCCCTTTTTCTTCTTTCCCAGGGCCATCAACATTCTCGTTTGCACACAGAAGTGTGCTTCCTGACCTGGGTCAGGTCCCAGCTATCTCGTGACCACTGCTACCAGGTCACCTGGTACTTGTCCTGGAGTCCCTGCGTTGACTGTGCGTTGCAAATTGCTGACTTCCTGGACGAACATCCAAATGTGAACCTGACCATCTATGTTGCCCGCCTCTACTACTTCTGGAGACTGTATTTCCGCTGGGGGCTGCGCAGGATGGTTGAGCACGGGGCCCAGGTGCATATCATGTCCTCTGAAGGTAAGCAGTCAGGAGAGGGATTTCTTTTTTTTTTTTTTTTTT